ACACAAAAGAGAATTTATTCAACTTTGACCGATCATTCTGTGCGAGTATTTTCATATTTATTTAACCTTTTTAATTATGGCAAATCCATTACCAGTTTCGACTAGGTGTCTCAACCACAGAAGAAATAAGATGGCTGTCTTCTGGGCTGTTGCGCCGTGCAGTTAGTAGAAATTTCCTGTTTTTCAAAAGTTACCGAAATGCACTCAACGTTTGCAGACAATATTTAAATTGTTTTAACTGGACCGTGGGCTCTGTTCCTTGGCGAAATTAAAACACGCAGGTAACATTAATGAATAACATAAACATACAATCAAAATACAGTTGTTCGATAGTAATTATCATTGGAATAAATACGATTTTCATGACACTTTGTACATCATTTTTTAAATACAAATATTACCAATCTTTCGTACCTGCTTTTTTATTTTATTATGTAATCACACACTGCTGTCCTTGCTTCTATATTCACAAGAAACATTCCTGCGTCTAAATCCATTTCGCAGATGGATTCGAGTAGACCACACTTGAAAAGTTCCGTTGCAGACAGTACATAAACAAAATAAAAGTAATGGACCAATTTCGGGGGTTCCCCGATCGCTGAACAACTGATTTAATATTTTTGATCAACATGACACAGCATGTTGGAACTGCAGTCCTTTCGAGATGAATTCTTGGACATTTTTCTTCATCTATCGGCTAAAATAAAAAGAGAACACTGATTTTCGAAAGCTGACTCTGCATCTGTGATTAGTTACGTTCATCGGAAAGAGTTAATACGAGGCCTTGTACCCTCATAGTTTCATCGACTCTCTCACCGACAAATCGGCTGAAAATGGTCGTCCATCTTCTGGTAGAACAGCTCTGGGCACGGCCGTGTCACTGACGGTCTACTATCCGAAGAATTCAGGTTAATTGGGAACTGATTTAACGTCAGAGCCTTTTCGTAAACTAAGCTTACCCGCCATGCGTCACAGATGCTCACGACACGACAGACACACATTTCGTATCTCACGTGGGCATCAGGAACACGGAGCACGCGTTATACGTCACAGGGAAACAGAGTCTTAAAATTATTTTGCAGGAATTTGCTCATACGGCCAGGTCAGTGAACAGTGTCTCCACAGTTTTCTTATTTGGATTCCCGTCATTAGTATTAAGGTTAGAAAGTTATAAAGTGATTCTGTTTATCAGTCTTTTGTCATACTTTTCCATCTGGTGACTTTTACTTTCATTGGTTTTAAAGTCGTGCCAACCTTATACGAACAGCTGTTGATTCATTTGTTTCATGGATTATAACAAGATCATTACTGATGTTTTGTGGCCGTACATGCTAATTTACAGCTTCGTACGAGGTGCGATCAGAAAGTTTCAAGACTGCGCCTATAAAAACGCGTACACCTAACTCAGGTATTAAATTCATCCATCACCCTCGAAGTAGTTCCCCTGGGAGTGAACACAACGATCCCAGCGCCGCTGCCAAGCCTGGAAGCATCCCTGGAAATCTTTCTTTGTCAGCCTGTCAAGCACCATCTGCGATTCTGCCTGAATCTCTTCTATCGTCTCAAATCTCCTTCCCTTTAGCTGAATTTTCAACTTTGGGAAGAGGAAGAAGTCACACAGAGCTTAGAAAGGAAGTTGGGGTCGGATCTTGCAAGATCTTTGAGCTCCTGACAAACGAGAAGTCGATTCTGCTTCTAGTCCTCTGACAGGATGCGTCGCATGTGGAGTTCTTCCTTTAGAATCAGCTGACAGGCCCCATAGCCTATCCCAACAATGCTTGCGTTAGCATTTCATAAATTTCCGTAGCCGTTTTGGCGAGTCTTTGGCAAAATTTGTGCTTGCTTTAGGATTTCATAGGTTTCCGTAGCCGTTTTGGCGAGTCTTTGGCAAAATTTGATGCACACGCCATTCCTGAAATCGCAGGAGGGTCGGTGTAATGCACTACCAAAACGCCCGTAACTAAGAAACAAATGCTAATTCGATGATGCCGGCTGGCACACTGATTCACTATGAATGTAGGCCGCACCCCCTAAAGGCAGAAGCTCGTACTACATCCAGTTCGCCCGCTATTGACACAGTCTTGAAACTTTCCGATCGCACCTCGTACGTCATTTGATGACGCACCTTCGTCAGAAATCTTTAAACAGCAGACAATAACTTGTATTTCCAGAAGTGCCTGTCGGCGTGATGAAACCTAATGAAGAATTAGTAATTAGCAGCTGAGGGCCGCGAGTCGCAACACCTGGACTAGAGTTCCGCAACCTTTTTGCAGCCACGGAACACTCAGACTCATCAAGACATATGACGGCACACGACAAAATTTCGCCTCGCGAAAAGGGGGTAAGAAACTATATAAATGACCATAAGTAGGTATCTGCAGGCATGTGAAAACAAAACAAAACAATTATTAATAAAACTAACTATGATGAACGCGGTTTTTTAATTGTAACGATGACGTTAGAATAATGAAACGATTTCTAATAAAAATTCGTAGTATCGGTGTGCCATAGGTTGCGAACACTCTCCTAGGCAAAAGTACGTATAATATAGTAGTAATGCATTTGTGTTGGCGACAGAACAGACTGTGCACTCTCTTATGGAGAACACAAAAATTAAATATGTATGCACACATGTCTCCTTTATAATAATTAGTGAAATTTTATCGCCCTGATGATGGAGGCAGAAAACATCTCTGAAATGTCGGCTAACTTCTACCAGACTACACGACTCATCAACCCAGAAGACAGTCATATTTATAAGAATTAGTTTTGAAATCGGACATTAAATGTGTTCACAATGGCTACACATGTGGATATGTGGTAGATGAGTTTTCGTGGCTTATTTAACGATGCTTTCAATAGCTCGGATTATGCAGCTCCTAGTGGTGTGATAATTTGTTAATAATGAATCGGAAGGAAGCGGTCGTGACCAAATTAATGTACTATTTCGGGATTTGTCTGTAGAGACTCAGGCAAATGGCATTTATCTCCAAACTTTAGAGTGGCTCACATCAGACCTGCTCTTTATGAACCCTGACAGCCAAGACACGTAGCACGCACGTACAGAGTTGGGCCAAATTCGATTTTTACGGATTTTCGGGCCTCAGAATTATACATGTAGAAAGTTTATTGAAACTCCACAGTACTTGATT